ACTACTACTACTACTACTACTACTACTACTACTACTACTACTACTACTACTACTACTACTACTACTACTAAGACTACCAATACTGCAATGATATCGCGCTCGCGTAAGAGAGCCTTCTGGCACATGCCGTTCAGCTTCATGGCGCGGGAGCGCGGGGCGCAGACAAGGGTCGTCGCGCGTGCGAAAATCGTGCACTCCCGCTGGCCCCTGCCTCGCACACGCCCACTTAGCTGCCCTCTAGGCCTCTTGCAGGTTATCTCACCTGCTTCCTTCTTTGATCAGCCTCCTCTTGCCTTTTCCCTACTTCTGTTGCGTTGCAATGCGCCTTGAGCGCCTTCCGACGATATGGGGGTGGTGCGGGCTAGGTGACGGGGGCGGGGAGATTCACCAAACCTTTGCGCCCGTGCTGCTAGATACCGCGTGCTTCTGCCAGCAGCTAATTAGTGAGTGCCGCATCAAGCTGACCGTCTCCTCGGCGAATCCGAGCGCAATCCAATCCCCTCCCCCTCTCCTGACCCCTTTGCTGCTGCGGCTCCTCCTCCGCCAGCCCTTCCAGAGCCTGCCACCTCAGCTGCCCCGATGCGCAAAGCGCAACCCACATAAGGCGTGCTGGCACGGAGCTCAGCAGGTCGACTTACCAAGTGGGTCTGGTGCGACGTGTTCGCCACAACTGGAGGCATCCTAGATGGGGTCCGAGTAGATGGGGTCGGAGGATCACGCCGCATCGGCGATGCATCGGCGATACATCGCCGATGCACCGGCGATGCTTCGTCGAAGTCGGCGATGCACCAGCGACGTCGGCTTGAAGGGAATCGGGCTCCGCATCGAGCCGCATCGCCGATGCATCGGCGATGCGGCGCGATCCTCCGTCCCCTTCTACTCCGACCCCATCTGGGAGGCTTAGAAAAACGGTGGTGCCAGCACGTGCCGGGCCTGAGTCTGGGCGTTTGAAAACGGCACGTGCCAGGGATGAGTTCGTGGTGGTTTCGAATGGGCCAAAGAAGTTCGGGCCCCACCCTGGGATATACGATGGGGGCGCGTCCATCCTCGATAGGGGTGCGTCCGAGTAGCCTCTTGCGGTGTTTCCCGAGGTTCCCCTCTTGTTCGAGCGGCTTCATTCTTCATCAACTTGGGGAGGGGTAGAAAAATTGCCTGCGAATACGTGCCATGTTTCAGCACGGGCGTATCAGGGCAGCTAACCCGGAGATCCGACGTTGGGAAAAAATGCAACATCGCGAAACATTGCGACCAAGGCCCTATAGGCACCATTTTCCTGCGTCATTTTTCGAGCCGGATCGGTCTGTGAGGGTCCCGGGGCCCGAAACTGGGCGAAAACGCCTGGTGCAAAAAGATTGCAACCCCAGGACTTCAGGGAAACCCGCCACGTGTGCTCCAGCTCCCCCGGGGGGGGGGAGAAAGGTGCCCTGTCTCGGGTCCTGAAGGCGCCTTTTAGAGCCCCCTAAAAGGCCCATTTAGGGGCCTTGCAGGGCCCCTTTTCGGCAGCCCTGCCCTGAGATCCGATGTCGTGATTTTTCAAGACGGGGTCCCCAGAAGTCTCGACCCATTCCCCAGGACCGGTTTTTCACCCTGAGTCGTTTTGTTGACGGTCGCGAGGCCCGGCGAGGGCCCCTGTAGGGGGCCGAACTTTGCTGCGAACAACCTCCCTCTTGATGACTTCAATGCCTTGGATCTCTGGGTCGCTGCCCCGCGGGCGCACGCTCTTGCCCGTGCGCTGGGGCCCCGGCGTGCGAAGCCCCCCCAGGAGGTTCGGCCGCCGCGCCCTTCATAATTAGGCCTGGCGTGCGGCTTCCGGGGGGGCCGGGGGCGCCCTCGGGCCCCGGGGCGGCTCCAAGAGATCGTTTGCAAGCTGTCGGCGAGTACCTCCTCCCCCTCCTCCCCCTCCTCCTCCTCCTCCTCCTCCTAACCTGGAGATCCGACGCTCCGAAACAATCAAAGCGGGCGGTCTTAGGCCGTCTTCGGCCTCGGGGTGCCATCGCCGGGACTCGGGAGCGTCAAACAACGACTCGGGACGAAAAAACAGCCCCAGGGAAGTGGTCCAGACCTCGGGGCCCACGCATCGAAAAAATTGGAGCAGCGAGATGTCTGGGAACCCTGGCTATCCTGGGGGGGAGGAGGTGCCAGCCGATAACCCAACCTTTTCGCTTCGGGCAGCTCCGCGTTTGCCCACGCGCACCAGTTGTGCGTACCCCCGAAATCTGCGCAACCGACAAGGTCAGGTTATCTACGGGGGGGAGGCGGGTCCGATAGCCCAGACTATCGCCAGGCCCATACAAAAACAGTCTCAAAGACGGACCCGGTATGAAAAAAATCGCCCTGCGGAGAGAAGCGGCCGGGACCTTTGGGACTCGCGGGCTGGAAAAAAACACGTCCCCAGATGTCCGGCATGATCGAATCGATTGAATCGAACCACTCCCGCGAAGGAGGGCGGGGCGGGGTCAATGCCTGCAAACGTCATCGGACCAACAGGAATCCCTTTTGTCTTCCTCAACTCCAGGCTCAGGCGGCCGTTGGGGGACTCCTGGCCCCGCTGGAAAGGCCCTCGACGAGGTTGAGCCGATGGACACCGCCCCAGGGCCCGAAAACCTCCAGGAACCCAGACAAGCCTTCGAATAATTGCAGATCGCGTGCGACCCTCGAGTCGCTCGTCCTCGAGAGCCCCCCCCCCGCCCTCGGCGCTCCTCCCGGAACCGGGTCAGCACGTCCCTCGCCTGCGCTTCGAACATCCGCGTCCTGCCCTTCATCATCATCCTGACCTTGACCTCGCGGGATGCGCGCCCAGGGACACCGCCAGGCGGCGGAGAGACACAGGAGCAGGGAGGGAGAACCCGCCAGCGCTCGGACGACCATTCCCCGTGCATCTCTCGGCTTCTTGCGTGTTTCCGCAAGATGATCCAAGATGCTCCCCGATGGTCCTCGCCGAGAAAAAAAATCAAAACAAATCACACGTCCGAGCGATGCCAAAGGAGGGTGGCAGGGCGCCCACTGTGCACATCCGCACCGATCCTGGCCAGCCCACCCCCCACCCCGGGGACTGGCCCAAGGAGTCCGTGCGAGCCCGTGCTGCGGATCCATGCACCCCAGCTCAGAGCTAAGATTATTTTTCACGCTGAGAAAATCGACCTCACTCCCAGCGTTCTCTGAAGCAGTAGTCCAGGCCCATACATGCGAGCATTCTGCGAAGAAAAGAAAACGCCACGAGGAAACCGCCCTGGGTCAAGTCCGGATCCCTGACTTTCTTGGGCAAGCTCTGGAGCCCACGGAAATTGACCGCCTTCCTTGGGAATCTCGGACGGGCGTGTCTGCAGCGGGGGCCTCCCCCTCGCCTCCTGGGGCGCGCCCAGGGATCGGGTGTTGCCCAAGTACCACTGGCCCAGGGCGCCCCCAGCTTTTCGCTCCATCTTGGAGCCCCTGGGGCCCTCTGGGCCTCGTGAGGGTTGCTTTGGAAGCCGCTTGGGCTACCCTGGGAATCCTGGGGGCACCTTGGCCCAGGGGCACTTCTAGCAACACCCGAGGGGAGGCGCGAGGCCGCTCGCCGCAGGAGAGTTGTGGCTGCGACGCCTCAACGACGACGGGACCCGCGGCTGCGCGCGCCTCCCATGGGACGCCTCTCGCGGCTGGCGCGCCGCCGCGGCGGCCGTCTGGGGCTCCTCGAGGCCGACGTCGTGCCACGAGAGGGCCGGCAGCGCGCGCGCGGCCCCCGTGGTGTGGAGAGGCCGCACGCAGGGTGTGCCGCGCAGCCGAGAGCCAGCGCGCGCCCCCGCCAAGCGATAGGCCGAGCGCTGGAGTCACACGCTGCCGACGTCTGCGCGTTCGGCCACGCATCTGCGCCAAGGCAGACCCAGACCCCCTCGCGTTGTGGAAGATCGCGGCGGCAGGTTTTTCGTTATTTTCGACCTCTGGGGGCCCATCCCGGGCCTTGGGACCGTCAAAAACGACTCAGAACGAGAAACCAATCCCAGTGAAGAGGTCCAGACCTCTGGGGATGGACGTTGTGGAAGAACACGACGTCGGGGGCCTGGGCAAGGCCAAAGAGGGGCCCGGTTTTATATTGCTCCCATCGCACTCGAGGGCCACATCCCAGAAACAATCTCGAACACCCCGAGAAGCATCGAAGCGGTGTCTGCCCGACTCACGCTGGCGAAGCGTCGAGCGAGGATCGCCCCCCAGGGCCCGACACGTGACAACCGTGCAGTTTCGGTACTTTCTCGATGCTCGAAATTCTTCCTGGTGGTCAAGTCTAAAATAAGTTGGAATATCAGGAGTCCAGGTATAGAGGGAGTGGTGGCAAAAGGTTAACTGACACTGAAATGTCTGGCGGCGTGCGAAACTGATGACGCCCTTCCGCCGTTCGTTACAACGCATGCCGTCAGCCGTCCTCCGAGACACGCAAAGGGAAGACGAACGCGCAAACAAGCGTCTCAGAGTGTTTCCCTTGACCTTAGCGGCTCATATGTGACACTAACTGCATCCATATTTGGCACGCTTGGCGTACAGTGCTTTGTCTGGCACTGCACGCGCGATGCAGTTGCACTGCACGAGGACGACGAATCGCAGATGTATTGCAGACCGGCAATGGGATTGCATAAGTGCCGTGCTAGGGAATTGCATTGGATTGTGTTGCGACTGTGATGTTGCACGCAAGAATCTGGCAATCCATTTGCAGTTCGGATCATATTTCGACTACACGCAGGAGTGACCCTAGGCTAAAGTGACCTTTGGTGCGCGGCTCCATGGGCGCCCGTAGAGAGAGAGAGAGAGAGAGAGCCCACAGAGGCGTCAGGAGCGCTCCTACACCTCCGGCCTTGCGCCGGGCTCAACGCAATCGCGCAAGCCGGCGTTGCCGCGCCGCATCAACGATCGGCGGGGCGCCACTCGAAATATTTTTTGCGCCACCGGGCAACCGCAGAATTCCGCCGATTGAATTCGAGCGCCCCGAATGGCAATTCGAAGGGCCTGCGAAAGCAGACGTTGCCGGGGGCCACCGCGATGCCAGGCTGCATCGTGATGACGTCTGGCCAGGCCCGGCGCCATGGCCAAAACCGGCCCCATTCGAGAGCCCAGAGTATGTCTGAAATTCTGGGTAACTTATAACAGTAAAGATCCCCATTGGTTCGAAAAGCAAATTCAAAAATATCCAAAAATATCCAAAGATATTCAAGCCAGACGTTTTGGGATTTGGGCTGGGATTCGGGACTGGTCCTGGGCCGAAACGCACCGTCTGGTCGACCGGCTCCCCCTCGGGTAACCAATGCAAACTGTAGAATTCGACGCGTATGCGTTGCTGTCGATTGCAAGCGGTGGGCCCAAACCTGGCGAGCTCAGATGCGAGCGTCATAACGCGACGCGGGTGCCGACGCGAGGTCGAGCTCATTGCACGAGAGAAATCCCCCGACACCCTTTGGGCCAGCACCAAAGGTCATTCTGGCGAAGGGTCACTCTTACGCGTAGTCGAATATTGCCCGGGACCGTCCAAAAAAACGGCTCGGGATGAAAAACCGGTCCTGGGGAAGTGGTCGAGAGGTCGGGGGCCCGTGCCTCGAAAAAACCGAGACGCTGAACGTCTCGGTGAGCACGCCCTTTCGCCCGAAGACGATCGCCGAAGGCCCCTGCATCCACGGCGGCACTCTGCCCGCCGCCCCCCCGACGACGGCCCTGTCTCTCGGTGCTCTTCACGGCGCGCTGACCCGCACAGCCTGTGAGTGCACCAGCTCCCCGTGCCTGAGGCCGCCTGCCCAGACCCCCTCTGGCGCTGTGGGGAAGAGGGGGGGGGGGGAGGACAAAAAAAAAAACCTATACGCGAGGTGGATCGCTGTCTTCGGCCTCCGGGGGCCCCTTCCTGGGCTACGGAGCGTCAAAAACGATCCAGGATGAACTGGTCCCCAGGAAGGGGTCCGGACTTCTAGGGGTTACATCATGACAAAAAAATGCGACGTCGGGGGTCTGGCTGCGCGCTCCCGCCCCGTCGACTCTCGTCGGTTCGTGCCTCCTGCCTCCTTCTGCCTCCGCGGCTGCCCTCTGTTTTGCTCCATCCACCGGCTCGGCACGCGCGCTTGCGACCGCCAGCGCCGCGGACCAAACAGATGTACAGTGGAGGCCAGTCCACAAGAAACCTTACACAAGAAACCCAACCCTGACCTGAGACCCCAGGACGTCCCCTGATTTTTGGTGTGGGAATGTCACGCTCTCCATCGCAAAACCATCGAAACCCAAGAAACCCAGGGCACCCTGGAGGCGAGCACACTTCTCTCCTGCCTCTGGCGCTCCCCCGGAGTGCTTCGAGCTCTGAGGGCGCTGTGGCCGTCCGCGGCCCACTCCCCGCCTCCTCCTCCTCCTCCTCCTCCTCCTCCTCCTCCTCCTGCTCCTGCTCCTGCTCCTGCTCCTGCTCCTGCTCCTGCTCCTGCTCCTCTTCCTCCTCCTCCTCCTCCCCCTCCTCCTCTTCCTCCTCCTGCTCCTGCTCCTGCTGCTGCTCCTGCTCCTGCTCCTGCTCCTGCTCCTGCTGCTGCTGCTCCTGCTCCTGCTCCTCCTCCTCCTCCTCCTCCTCCTCCTCCTCCTCCTCCTCCTCCTCCTCCTCCTCCTCCTCCTCTACCCCACTGCGCTCCGCAGCAGCCCTCCCGCACCCATCGGTCGGAAGACGTCGGCAGAAGCATGAAGTAGGAGGGCGTTGAAAGTAGATTGGGTCTCCGCCCGCTCCTCGAGGAGGACAGAAAAGGTGAAGCCGCTCGTTCATTGAAGCGGGAAAGCGCTTCAAGTCGATTGGAATCTGGGAATCCAAAAATGCGGCCTTTCAGCGACCGACACACGTCGTGCGCAGGCATTCATAACTGTGCCGCGTCGCTGGCTCGCCCTCTCTCTCTCTCTCATGCTCGTTCTTTCTCTCTCTCTCTCTCTCTCTCGCTCCGTCCCTCCCTCTCCTTGATCCCCTCGCCTGCCCCGGATCTCCTCCTCGTCATCCATGCTTTCCGCCCACTATACTTATCAGTATCCTATTTCCCTGTGGTAGCTACCGACGAACCGGCTCGCATAAACGATTGGCGGTCTTTCTAAACCCAGAGATTAATGCTGTCCCTCCTCCCCCTTCTTTCCTACTCCTCATCCCCTCTATCCTCCCTTCTCCGTCTTCTACTTCCTCCTCCTCCTTCCTACCCTGGATCTTTCGTGGGCAGCGTTCTGCCCAGGATTCCGATGCGAAGTCACACTTTGCGAAGAAGACCCCAGTGGAGGGTCGAAAAAGGCCAGCACAAGCTTACCGTCTTTGGCTTCCTTCTACCTCCGTCTCCCTCCTCCTCCTCCTCCTCCTCCTCCTCCTCCTCCTCATCCTCCTCCTTCCCTTCCTCCTCCTCCTCCTCCTCCTCGGTTTTCTCCCATCTGCTCTAGGGCGACCTGCTGCCGACTGTCCTTTGCAAGCCACTGCCTTATGGACCGGATCTTCGTCTGGATGTCGCCATCCCCAATATTGTACGTGAGCTTAACCTCTTTGACCTGGCGGCGCAGGGTTGGTCAGCAAGATGATGGAGCAGGAGGAGGAAGAAGAGCAACATCCTCCCATCCTCATGAGGCTCCTCCTCCTCGTCCTCCTGCTCGTCGTTTTCTGGGCCTTTGGCAAACCCCCTATCGCCGCTGCTGGACGCGGCTCGGAAAACGGACCAGAATTGTGCCCTAGATAGGTTTGGGGATCGGGATTGCCCCCAGGAGCATGACGCTATGGAGATGGACATCAGAATGAGGACGAGGAAAGAGAGGAGGGAGGACGGGGAGAGGGATGGAGGGAGGGAGAAGGGGAGGGAGGAGGAGGAAGAGGGGGAGGGAGACGAGAGAAAAGATCTGATCTGATCTGATCACCCGTGGGGACCAGGTCAAGCCTGGGCACGAATCACAATTCAAGCCTGCGGAAACGTACCCCCACTTTTGGGCGCAGCCCCCTTGCCAGCCTGGAGAGGACCTCCTTCCTGGCTTTCGAGGGTGGGCGGTCAGTCTTACACGATTTCGCAAGACTCTGAACATTCACACTGGCATGTGCACCACAGCGCTCACCGTAGAGCACTCCCCGCCGGATTTTCAGGCGATGATTGCGGGCACATCCTGGATACAAGGGCTGGGCGAGCGGGTCAGAAGAGAGACAGGTGGGGCCAAGACAGCGACCTGAGCAAGAGTCCTGGACACGACCTTTCAAGCTGAACCTGCGCGGACATGCCTGACATTTCAAAAACGAGCCTACGAAGTAAGAGGAAACGTTCGGACTCCAAACGGGCGATGCTGATCGGCGCCGTCCCATATTTGATCGACGTCCGCCAAGATGGTCCAAAGAGGGCCCCCAAGCCCTCTAAGAGGGGCCCAAGAGAGCCTCCAAGGCTCCCAAATACCCCCATCAGCGCCGAAAGTTGGTCACTAGAAGTCTTCAAGAGGCTCCAAGATGGAAGTATGTGCGACGGCCTTCATGGTTGACTCTCTGGATCTGCTCAGGCTGGTCCCAAGCTTCGATGTGACGGCTGGCCCCCGCTCTGTTACACGGCATACCCTTGCGCTTCCCCGCTCGAGGCAACTCGCCTGAGCATCGTTTCTCGACGGGCTGGTGGGAGCCCGTGAATCGTCCACCACTTGCAGCATTCGGCTCTGCCTCCGACTGCCCCCCAGGCCTCGCGCGCCGACAGCGTCCTTCGCTCGACCGTCCCAGACACGCCACCACCACCGAGGCTGACTCCAGCATCGGCGCTTGGATCCCACGCGCAAGTCGCGCCCTCACCCGTTTACCGGGAAGCCGTTCATGCAAACCACGCGCACGAGCGCACATGACGACGGGAAGGCTTGCCAGGTGTAACTCGCCAAGCCTGCGTCTGAAACGTACAGCGGCAGCCACTCCAAATCTGGCGCCCGAGGGCCCCGGCGCAGGCGCGACCACGCCCGCACTTGCAGGTTCTCGACAGGCGGCTACGACGATGATCACAGTTCGCCGTCACTGAAGCCTTCCTCCCCTCGCCCCTGACCTTCTCAGCGATGTCACGCGCCAGGTCCTCGAGAAGCGGGGGGCTCAAAGTCTCTTGCACTGTAGTCGCTACAGCGCCTTCTTGGGATTGCTTGACGCGGGCATTCCATCCGCGCTGGGGTTGGTACGGTAGGTTCGTGTCGTGCCGACCCTGGCGCTGGTTTCTGACACCACGGGGATCGTTCAACATTGAACGATCGGCCGTTTCCGAAACGCCAGGTCGTTCAGCATCGGTCGATCCTGGGTCGCCGGCGGCGTGCAAAATTGAACGCTGGCGGCGGGGTCGCCGACGGTCGACACGGCGCATTCCTTATTTCGACGCCGGTCAAACTCGTGGGCGCCCAGGCGCGCCCAGGCGCACGGCGCCGGCGGCCCTCAAGGCCACCGTCGTCAGACGCACAAGCGCCCCGCAGCGCAGACCAGGCTGCGGCACCGGAGCGAATACGTGCCGGCGTGGCCCACAGTTCGGAGGCAGATGGCCTGGGAGCCTCCCGTGCCATCTGGATGGCGCTTGCGAATCGACGCTGGTCGGCGCTAAGTCGGCGCTTTCTCACGGGATTACCAGACGCTAACGCACGCGAGTGCACTCGAACGACGGAATTACAAGACCAGACGAAGCTCCCATCCGAACCACACGATCCGCCTCCCAAATTGACCGATGAGCCCACGACCCAAGTCAAGTGCGCAAAACAATGCAGAGACATCAGTTCAATACGGCACCATGCCGAGCGATGCAAAGCATGACGTAGAAAACAATGGCCAACACACAGCACCGCCAGGCAGATCATGGTAGTAGTTATTGAAGATTTGTAATGTCGGGGGTTGGAGGGTGAGATCGAAGTGGAACGGAGAGCCCCCCACCGGGAAATCGGTTTCGGTTTCGTGTTCGTGTCGTGCGTGCGGGCGAGGTGAACCCGTGCGCGGGCGAGAGAAATTCAGTCTGGTGTCGCTAGTGGTTCGCCAACATAAACGTTTCCCCCGCCGGCGCGTGTCAAGCGGTGGCCCGCATTGTCCCGTCGGTTGCCCGCCGGGGTCCTGTTTGTCGCTAGTGGTTCGCCAACATAAATGTTTCCCCCGCTGGCGCGTGTCAGGCGGTGGCCCGCATTGTCCCGTCGGTTGCCCGCCGTTGTCCTGTCTGTCGCTAGTGGTTCGCCAACATAATCGTTTCCCCCGCCGGCGCGTGTCAAGCGGTGGCCCGCATTGTCCCGTCGGTTGCCCGCCGTTGTCCTGTCTGTCGCTGGTGGTTCGTCAACATAGATGTTTCCCCCGCAGGCGCGTGTCAAGCGGTGGCCCGCATTGTCCCGTCCCTCGACCGCCGCTGTCCTGTCTGTCGCTAGTGGTTCGCCAATATGAATGTTTCCCCCGCCGGCGCGTGTCAAGCGGTAGCCCGCATTGTCCCGTCGGTCGCCCGCCGTTGTCCTGTCGTGAGATCGATAGTGAGATCGATAGTGACATCGATCGTGAATTTGATAGTGACACCGAAAGTGAGATCGATAGTGAGACCGAATGTGAAACCGAATGTTGGATCGATAGTGAGATCGATAGTGAGGTCGATAGTGAGATCGATCGTGAAAGTGATAGTGGCACCGAAAGTGAGATCGATTGTGAGATCGAATGTGAGATCGATAGTGGGATCGATAGTGAGATCAGTTGTGGGATCGATTGTGAGATCGATAGTTAGATCGATTGTGCGAGCGATCGTGAGACCGATTATGAGATCGATTGAAAGATCGGGCCCGCCCGTCGGTGGCCCGTCGGCGTCCTGTCGTGAGATCGATAGTGAGATCGGTCGTGAGAACGATTGTGAGATCGATAGTGATATCGATAGTGAGATCGATAGTGAGACCGAATGTGAGATCGATTGTGACATCGATTGTGATATCGATTGAGATCGACAGTGAGACCGAATGTGAGATCGATAGTGAGATCGACAGTGAGGTATATCGTGAGATCCAGAGTCTGATAGTGGGATCGATAGTGAGATCGATGGCGAGATCGATAGTGACATCGATTGCGAGACCGAATGCGAGACCGAATGTGGCATCGATAGTGAGATCGATAGTGGCATCGATCGTGAGATCGATCGTGAAATCAGCGTTGTCCCGCCGGTTGCCCATGATGGTTGCCCACCATGGTTGTTCATCACGGTTGCTCACCACTGCCCCGCAGGTTGCTCATCATGGTTGCTCATCATGGCTGCTCAGCATGGGGCAACATCATGATTGCTCATCATGGGACACCTTCTCTTGCTTCTCCTCCTCGCATCCTTAATATTTCAACTCTAACCTAATTCTTTAGATCTTTAGTTCGGCTCAAGGGCTCAGGCGACGCGACGCAAGTCGGTCAGGACGTCGCCTTTTTGCTAGGACGGAGGCTCGATTGCCATTCATCGCCTCCCTCCTCCTCTCCTTCCTCTTCTGAGGATGGCGGCCACTTTCATTTGGTATCATGGGCTGGGGGTGCCGTTCTTGGGCCACTTAGTCGTCAGAGGACAAATGAATGCCGTCATTTCTTGGCCATGCCGTCCTTCCAGTTCCCCTGATTGTGCGAATTTGCATTCGTGAGGATCTCCTCATCGTCACCGCCACCATCACCATCATCATCATCATGACCGTCTTCATTTTCATCCGCCTCGTCCTCCTCCTCTTCCTCCTCCTCCTTCTCCTCCTCCTCCGCCTCCTCCTCCTCCATCTCCTGCCCGTCACTGTGCTCCTCCTCCGGCTCAAGGCGCCCACTGCGTTCGCGCACCTCCCCAGGGCGCCCTCCTCGCGCATTTCTGCGGACGGGCTATCCACGAGATGGGGGGCCGCGTGGGTGACATGAAGAAGGCGGAGCTCATGAAGTACGCTGCCAGTCTTGGAGTCCCCACCAGGAAGCCGGCGGCGCCGACGCAGTGGCGCGCAGTCAAAGACGCGCGCGAGGATTGCAAGCTGCGGGAGGACTGCCACTGTGACTCCCAAGGCAGGATAGGAGAAGTCCGGACGCACGCACCAGGCCCTGCCAGTGCACGCATCGTCGACTGGACCGTCGTGGGGTGAGCGCCGCGTCGCGCAGCGGCAAACCGAATGACACAAAACGCCCAAGCGAAAGAACAAACAAAAATCCGCCACGCCGTCCACACCATCATCGGCCATCAGCACCACATTCACCACAGTTGTCGTCATGAGCCACCCCCCTCCCACCCACCCCCACACCCTCCTTATCACCCACAGGTCGTATAGGTATTGACAAGCGTTGCGTAGCACAGCGTACCATGGTATGGCATAGCTTAGCGTCGCATGCAGTATGTAAGAATCGTACACCGAAGCATCGCAAGTCATTGAGTATCACTGCGCTGGTTAGCATTACACTGCATTGCATTGCATTGCATAACCAGGCAATGTGAAGTATACTATTGCGTGGGAATCACGGAAGTCATAATACATCAGTTCAATCCTCCACAGCCTGTCGCACTACCTCATATCAGGTGGCGAGTAGTTGCATTGAATGCGCATTTTCA